TACTTCACTCCAAGAATCTGCCTTTGCTTTATTAATGTGGTGAATTGAGGCAAAGTTAATTAAATTCAATCCAAATAAATTTGGAACATATAAAAAAAGTTAAAATACTTTTTAAAACCTTTGGGCTCTACTGAAAAATGTGTCGAGAGCAGTAATTAGCGAAGAGCCGATATAAAAAAAATCCAAAAATTCATGGCAGGAGGAATAAAATAACACACAGAAGAATGCTTTTAAACTTTCCTTTACACAGCGATTAAATTAAATATTCATTAAAACCCCACAAGTTCATCTTGATCTTGTTCAAAAATACAGTAGAGGTTCATCACATTTCTTCAGTAACCTTAAAAATAGATCTCACCTCTTTGCCTCTTTCACATTGTGCATCTTCTTTTTCCCATCCTTACCATCTTGCTTTCGTCATGCACTTCTTTGCTTCCCACATCCTCCTCTCTTCATCTCTTTCTTCGTCCGAGCCCCCGATAGTCTGTCCTTTTCTATTTTTAATACTCAACCCACATTCACCTTCTCATATGACACACTGAAAAAAACAGTTCCTCTAAACTCAAGGAGCCGGTGGTGGTCAGAGATGTGAAATTGAATAAGCACTGATGAGGGTGTTAGAAAAACATTATTAGATCGAGAAAAATCGCAGCGTAATACTGTGGAGGTGTATAAGATAAGTTGCTGCCAAGAAAGCAAAATATCGGAAAAAATTCTTACACACTTACTCCCAGTTTAAATTTCTGTCCATGATAATAAATATATATTCTCAAAGTTATTCCAGACTGCATAATGTTTTAAAAAGATTTTTTTTTAACATCCTTAAATTAAGTCATCCATCTACCCAATATTTTCCATAATGGGACCGTTCAGTCTCAAAGTCATACAAAAAAGCCCATTAATTTAGTTTTCTCACAAAAGATGTATTGGGTTTCTTTTTTTAGCACAATGTTTGAAAATCATCTGAAAAGCCAAGGTTTTTCCTAAGGGAAATGTGCTGAAGTGCAAATCCTTTAGGTTTGAGCTTATTTCCATTAATATCCTCTGATATCCAGAATCAGAGACCATGTTTTTGCTCTTGGACGTGTCCTATTTACTACCAAACCAATCTTTGAATTTGCCTTTTTGTGGTCAATGCAAAGGCTTCTTCATTGTCCATAACCATCAGTAATTAGGTGGTAGAGAAGGTTACCAGATCTTTTCTTAAACCTACAATCTCCAAATGTTACATTTTACTATATATTTGGCATCTTGCAAAATGACCTGTTTTACAACACATACTAGTCTGGGAAACAATGACAAAGCTTCTAAAAGCTTCGGAGCTCATTTCCCTGCCACCCACATTTAAGCTGTGACCTGCATTTTGAAAGCTAGAATCACAGTTTATTGACAGTTGTGCAGGCCTCCACTTTTCACCAGTTTAAACACCAGTCTCATGGCTATTAACGGTGTAGGGTCATGACCTGACCTCTCATATGCCTTTGTGTCTGCTTACCGTCTCTCTCCACCTCTCTTCTTCACATCTTTTCATCCCTCTTTTACACCGTAACTCCCACAGGAGGCTGGGCCACCTCTCTCTGTCTCCAGATGCACGCAGGCTCCTGTCAGTTCTGAGCTTAACGGTATTTATAACGATCTGACCCTGGGACCTCTCTGTGGTAATGATCCGCTACCCCTCCCTACAAAAATACACAAGCTGACAGACAATAACCTGCAGTCCTGTGTCCATCATGCTGTGTTGTTCTTTGCTATGATGAGATGAAATTAGTCATCAAAGCTGATAACTTTGCAGCCTTTAAACAGCCTTTAAAAGTTTACTTTTAGTTTTATGCACTGTTTTAACAAGGGAGACCATAATTGCGGCAGATTTTTTTTTTTTCACTTAACTGTCTAGACTCCTATACAATTTTAACATTTATAGTTTTTCATATCAAAATTAGTAGATTATAAAATATATTTTTTCTGCTTTTTAGATGGAGTTAATTTAATTTTAAACCTGTTTTTCTTCTTCTTTGTTTTCATGTACCCTTTTTAATTTTTTTTCATAAAATAGACCCCTGGTGCTGCTTTCATGTTGACATTCATGTGGAAAAAATCAGTTCTGCTCTTGACTTGTTTCCGAGGTGCTTTGTTTGTTGAGAATCTGAAGAAAGACAGGGGGGTGCATGGGAACAGCTCAGACTTGACTTTTCACCTTCAAAAACTGCTCTTTCCCAGGTTCCATCTAAGTTGCTTTGCTGAACTTTTGGTGTTGCCAGAACAAACTCTTATTATTAAAACGTCAAAAATCTGTTTTATCATCTAACTAAAGGAAGTTTACCTCTTACTTTAAGTCAAGCCCATCTCTCAGATATTCATGTATTTATCATCTTTGTATTTTTGTTAAATAAATTTGATCCTAAAATTATATTGAAATGCCCCAAAGGCAAACATGATCACATGATGAATGTTGGGTTCTGGAAGTAGTCCACAACAATCACAACCAACACCCACTCTAACCACAAACACATACTTGAAAACCTTCATGCAGAGATATAAAGTATTGTACTCATGCTTTCATTCTCTTTTCCAAGGCCTTCCCTCTTTTCACACAAAACACACACAGACACACATACACACAAAGGGTGCTTTAGATTCACACAAACACAATCGCTTAGCTCTGCTCTCTCAATCCAACCCTGTCGACAGCACTAGTGCCTGATATGAGGCCAGGGACAGAGGAAATGAACAATGTGAAGTATTATTTTAATACAGTGGAGCCAGCTACTCATGAGCGGGAAAACATCTAGTGTGCTCCATGCTCTGGAAAAAAAAGATCTCACAGTTTTAGACAGTTTTGTGGACCAGGAATCCTCTCTTCTTGATGTCTACTACACTGAGTTCATTACCACAGTTTGAGTGTATTTTTAATTATAGGTTACCTCAGGAAAGTGTTTATATTTCTCCATAAATACTAAACCTTCCTAAATTGTGCTTATATTACCTTAAAGTTCTATATTGTTATTTAGTTTTTTTGGGTTATAGAAATATTTATTCCTTTATATTAACCAATTAATTACATATTTCTTTAAAGTATAAAGCTAAAAAAATGTTGCATATATTTTCAGTCAGCTGTCTTTGTTGAACCAACTCTTTCTGTAATATCAGCTGTCGGATAGAGGAGTATAAAGTGATTTTCAATGCAACTTGTTTCTGTAAGATTCCCAACTGAATGTGGGCCTGTGTCTTGAGTGCACCATTCTAATGCAAGGATTTTCTTTTATTTATACTATTTAATTGAAGCCCCAACTACATTTTTAGCACAGGTGTCCTGACAGGCATGAAGCTCTTCTGTCTCTGTTGTCTCATCAACAATGGGACAGCTGGATGAGAGAGATTGACTACAGTATCATCTGTGTTCGAAAACTTCTGTGGGATCTGTTTCTAAAATAAAGGAAGCTATAAAAGTAAAAGGCATAAAAGCATACTGGCAAACTGAAACTATTAAAATATTTTTTTTACTAGAACTTTAAATTTCTCCTTTAACACTATGAGTAGTTCTTCATCTTCTTGTTTTCCTGGTGGACATTTGGGAATGTTAAGGTAACAATGAGAATGTGGGTTTCACAATTGTGTAGATCCGCACTTTTTACAGACAAACTAATACAGTAACATTGGCATGATCAGTCATTTATGTCAAATGAGCAACAAGACATTTTTTTTCTTAAATAACTTTATTGGAGTCAAAAGTACTGGAAACTTATTAAAAACTTATGTTTGAACTTGCAAAAACCTCACCACACTCTAATGATGCAGTCGTTTTTAGTTTGTTTATTATGATTCTTGTATTTCCGGACATTTACCAGTGGTCTTACAAAGTTTTACAGTCTGTGGCAAACCTCAGACACTGGATTCATTCCTTTATTAAAAGCTAATATCAGACTCTATTATGCTGCCAAAACAAGCCATTTTCATCTAACAGGTTCAGGCTCAGCGTCTGACCATTTATTTTTCTAGTCATTTGTTATTATGTTAATTTTGTACTTCTGGCTTTCAAAACAATTGAAATTATATTTATCTTAATTTATAGGAAAAGTGTTCTTTTATTTTTACATTTGGAATCAGATTTCTAACAGAATGAACTATTTTCCTTTTAACAGTTTTCTGCTTGGTGTAAATGTTAGAATAAGATGATTTTAAATGTAGAATTGACAACGAATATTCAAATATCTCCTCAGCTAGTCTGCATTTGGCTTATAAAGGCACATGTCGTTTATTAAGTGGCACATTCAGCAATATGTTTTAAGTTCTAAGTTATTTTTGGGTGGGTTTTACCTCACTGACATTTTTGACACATATTTATTATTATTTATTTTACAAATTAACAAATAAGGAACTTAGCTCTCTGTTAGCTAATACCTTATATCTGTCTGGTAACTGATGTCTGACTCCAGAAGTCGGCATTGCAGGTTACCAGAGGGCTAAGTCTTTGTTTTGTAGATTTCAACCCAAGACCAAATATTCAGGTAGTTTTCTTATGAGTCTCTTCTTTTCGATGTTGTCAATGTTCAGCTCTATTGTTCTTTTAAGCCAACTGAATATGTATAAAATCTCTTTGACAGGAAATTTTAGTATCATCAATCTGAGACAACCACTTACAGGTTAACCGATAACCTAAATATTCATGAGCATACCATTAAAGGAAGAAAACCTTTTGTTTTATTCTAGGGCTTTTAACCAGACGAGCACCAAATACCCCATATCGTTCTATGACCCCTTAAAAAAAAAGATCTTGAACGTTACCAGTCAGTGCTCCAGTTTTAACCTTTTAACATTAGCTGTAGAGGAAGTTTTAGAGGCTGCATGGTGCCTACCTGTACTTTGAATACTTTTATCAATCCTTCAATTTTATCAATTCTTCAACTCTGGGAGAGTTACAAAACTGCCAAACTCAGCCAATAGAAGGTGGTTTCATTTTTTATAGTCTGACAGTGTCATTTATCATATTTATGCTTCCTCAGGTCCATCTTCAGTGATCAGCAACGATGACGACTCAGCTTCTCCACTTCATCACGTCTCCAATGGCAGCAACACTCCCTCTTCCTCAGAGATGGGCCCGGATGCTGTCATCATTGGCATGACCAAGATCCCGGTGATAGAAAACCCTCAGTATTTTAGAAACACCAATAGCCTGTTGAAGACTGACACATGTAAGTAAACCTACATACATTTCTAAAAAGTATACCATCATAATGAAAATTCTCTGATTTATACCGCCTATTCTTAAAGGGAATATAGACTTCAGACCAGATTGCAAACATGGTTGAAAAAGACTTAATATTGTTTTACGGTATTTACTGTCTGAAAATAATTCAGATTAAATTGTTAGCTTTACAAAATCTATTTCCATTTGCTAAATGCAAAACAATTTAGTGTTTTTTGTCACTTTAAAGAGATCTACATATTCTATGATTACTATGACATGATATTTTACTGCAAAGTATGATGTAATGCTTTTTTAAGCAAAGTAATTCACACCATCTAAATTTCATAAAGGCATACCTTTGGAGGTGTTTCATAGCAACACATCAAATGCATTGCTTCAAACAAAATTACCTCTATGTCTCTTTACATTCAGCTTATCCTGGAGTACAGCTGAGTTATCCTGGGGTACAATTTCCAGATGCTTTAAGGCATCACACTCATTTGTTCAAGCCATTATCTTCAGGTCAAAGTGTAGCATAAATTGGTAAATGCAGATAAGAAGTATACAAAATAAAGCCATAATCAGATGGTCTGAGTTCAGCTTTGAGAGAAGGTTGTACAGTATGTGTGCTTAATATGACTCTACACAGTATTTAAGTTCAACATTGTGTAATATGCAAAAAAGAAAAGAATATATACAAATTTCGAGTTGTAGACAATAAGGTCAGACAGTCAGTTCTATTATTTTTTCATGAAAAATTGCCTCCTAACCTGACTAAGTTATTGCAGTAAAATCAAAGAGGAATGGGCTAAAGTTAAAGCAAACCATTGTGCCAGGCTTTATGAAAGATGCCCACATCATTTGAGTCAAGTCACAAAATACTGAGGAAATCTTGTAAACTTTTAACTTAAAGGAAAGTCATAAATTATTAAACATAAAATTGTATCTGTTATTATTCTAACATCTAACAAACAGGAAAACATCGGTAACCTTTATTTAAAAGAGGACACTTAGTTTAAGCACTAAATTACATGTGCAATATTTTATTTTCCAAGTGGAATAAGAGGCCAACTTAACTGAAGTAAGCAGTGTGCAACTGGCAGTTTGAAAGTTAATGGAAAAAAATGATGAAGATGGAGGTATTAATGGTAAGTTAGAAAAAATAACAGTGATAATACAAAATTGTATTTATGGTGCACCTAAAAAAAAATAGCCTTACTCAAAGGGCTCCAAATAGTAAATGAAAAGTGATAAAAAAAAGTAAAACATTGTTTTTATTTTGGTTTGTGTAAAGATTTTCTTTCATCCCGCTGCATGGATTTGTGTCGGCCTGTGTAGGGTTTTTTCTTTTTTATATTTTTCTACTTTTCTTTTTTGATGATCCAAATATGTTTACATGCACAGTCTCTCCACATTGTCTGGCGTCATTGTAATGCCTCTTTTGTGGCGCAGATGACCAAATAATGTTTTTCCTGTGAGTTTCCAACTGACTTTCAGAAGACACTAAAAAAGAACTGCTGCCGCAGTTGAATTTCTAATTTGGAAAATCGCTTTGCACTTGGTAAATGTTTACATGTGCATAACCTCCAGTCATGTTTTTGAGCACTTTGGTAATTAGAGTATGATTCTCATATTAATGAAGGAACACACCCAGAAAAAATCTGGACATGCTGAGCACTGAATTGCCGATGTAAAATATAAGAGATTGAAGATATTTTATTAAAATCAACTGCACAAAATACATGCACCTGCAATATAGCAATATAGAGACATAAGAGTTACCACAGAAATGAAATACAGATGAGAAAGAAAAACAGAAATGGAAAAACAAGAAATCCAAAACTCAAGCAGAACAAAAGGTACAAAAGAGCAACAGACAAATAGACAGAGAACACAGATGGATATTGACCTGCTCCATCAATATGACATTATGATTATTGGCAAGTAATAAAAGCCTCTCCAGGCTTTGGCCTTGTGTAGTAATAAATTATAGATTGGCATGTGTGTGTGTGTGCTCTGTATGGTGGGTAGCTCCTGTAAGGGGGACCCTAATGAGAGACTGCAGGTTGACCTCTTTGGTCCTGCTATATAACTGCACAACTTACGAGGATTTACAGCTCAAAGACATGAATGAAAGCTTTCTGGATCAGTGCAAATAAATAACATACTGTGGTGTATATTTAGGTTTCTCATTGTTTTAAAAATATGTTGCAATAATTACTATGATTTTTCTGTGCTCCTCTTTAGGTCCCAGACAGGCAATATGCTTAAAATACTTTCTGCATCAATCTGATTATTTAGCACTAGTTCCTTTAAGGACAGTACAATAGTCTTTGATGGAGACAGTTTGGTAAAGTGGCTCTTGGTTGCCCTTTAATCATGGTCTTAACCAGCTTGTCTCGTCAGTAGTGGGTATCGGTTGTTACTTCAATGATTGCAGAGATCTCTTCCAGGCAGCAGTGAAGCAACAATTACTGTGCAGAGATGATGGATCCATGCTTAATCATGGGAAACGTTAGATGTGTTACCCAGCTTCACTTGTGCAGCTTTTTCTTTTCAGAAATGAACACCTCATTAGCAATAATAACATCAGAGAAGGCATGGTTGTTGGAAATCGTAATAGATGCATTAAGAAGTAGTTACTGTAAAACATTTGGATTTGTAAAAGCCGATTTGCTGTGGTAATGATTGACCAGCTTCTTCTGTGCATACACTTAGTTTAAAAGTCATATACTGTGGAATTTATAGATAATAAGACATAAATAAAGACTGAAGCTCTGTTGGTTGGGCATTTTTTTAAGATTCCAATGTTTATTAAACCTGTCAATTTTCCATTTTTTTAAGAGATCCTTAACTTTTAGAAAAGGTTAAGCAGTGCAAATTTTGCAACTTTCCATCATTACCAGCAATGCTTATAAAAAAAGCGAAAACATTTATCGAACAATCTGATCTGGTGTATTCTGGCAACACAGGATCACACATGATCCTAAATTGCCAGATTAAGCAATTACATTTTAATCTATATTCATTTTTCATGAACTCCTAATAACCACACTGACACATTACCTTTATAAAATGGACAGAAAAAACATGGCAAAAATGCTAAGGGAGCCAAGAGGGCTTCATGCCAACGAAAATAAAAAAGATGGAGGAAGCATTGGTCCGCACTCATCAATTTATTTGCTATTTGAGGATTGTAATTAAGGAGAAGAGGCAAAAGGCACTTTCATGGAAGAATACTTATTAAACAGCCACAGTCGGAAATGGTGTGGTGAGGTAATTAGCTGGTGGGTAGCTGTCTTTAAGGGAACATGGGTTTGTTTTATGGATGTTTGTTTTGCATGGTGGAATGTGACAATTTGATATCTCCTAAAGGATATTTCTATTCTATTCTAAAAAGAGATGCTTTGATACATAGTTTAAGGAACACAAAGATGATTTCATATTTTTCCAGTATCAATTCCCTTTTTGGAGTAATAATAAGCAACAAAAGATATGATCTATAAACTACATCCTCAAATCAAACCTTCATATAATAATATACCTTTTTTTTTTTATATATACACTGCTTAAGGCATTTTTAAATTTATAAATCGTAGAATTGTTATAAAGATGGACCTATTGTACTGGAGCTATTGTAAGGGTCTCTGGGGTTTTTCTGGTTTGATTGAGCTTCCTGTCACAGAGAAAATCTTTGCTGGTGGCTGGGCCGACCCGTTTTGCTGCACACCTGAGAACATTTCTCAATTAAGATGACACTTGTATATAAGGAGGTGAAGGATCATCTCTCTTCACCAGATGAATACCACTAATATTATTTAAGCCAAAGACCCGAACCAGGAATATCATTCTTGTCTACAGTTGTCAACCATCTCCTTCCTGATCCATCTGCTTCATCCCCTCAGACCAACAAGAATGTTCAACTGACTTCCTTTAGTTCTCTGTTCCCAGATTCTTGTTGCTTTTGTTAAAAACATTAAAGTTCAGCGATTCTGCATGTGGGTAAAAAAAAAATACAAACCAACCTGACGCATATACAGACACTCTTACTATCCTCCTTTATTGAAATGCATCTCATAAAATTTGTTCCTTTTTATATCAAACAGCTTGGTAAAGAGATCACGTCCATCACATACATAATCATTATTTCTATAAATGTTTGATCTACCTTAAAGCACCTCATCAGAAAGAAATACTGTGTCATCCAGAACTGGCATTATATTTTCTCTGTTACCTAATATTTAATCAAAAGTTTTTAACTTCACTTTAGTCCCCCATTTCTTTTTTAGTCATTTTGCTTCTTTCTGTAGGATACTGGATTATTGTAAACTTCTCCAGCTTTCCAGTCTGGATCAATACAGCAACTTCTCAGAGATTAGCGGGGCTGTAACTTTATATTCTAAGTGGACAGCTTTTCTTCCAATATGCCTCTTAATCTCATCATATAAAAATCTTCTTTATCCTCCTTCATGTGATGACGTATGTTTCAGGAAATTCCCTAGTTAATGTGCTTTATGTTTACTTATGCTTGAGCATCTGGTTAAAGAAAGCTAGAGGTTGATGGGGTTTGAGTCAGGATAACAGTGGTAATAGTCCTGCAACATAAGAGTTTGAGTCATAATCATGCTGAGAGCCATTTTTTTTATCAAATCAGTTGGCAGAGTCACAAATTACTTAGCAACAAAAATAAGTGTTGCTCCGTCTGAGCCAACTGTAGGTGAGCTTGCAGCAGGAAGAGATTACATGCATCAATAAAAACAAATGAAGTAGTGTCTAAGCAAAATTATTTTAATTTATTTTAAGAGTCTTTGCAATGATTGGAAGCTGTGGTTTGTTAGGATATGGATGAGAATAATCCTCTACAGTTCTGTCTCAAGTGAAGGAGTTCAAGTATCTTGAGGTCCAGTTCACAAGTGAGGAGGGAATGGAGCTGTAGATCGATAGAAGATTGGTGTCCTTGCTGCAATAATGTGGACGCTGCACTGTGCTGTTGTGGTCAAACGAGAGCTGAGCAAAAGGCTCTCGATCTACCTTTCAGTCTATGGTTCTAGCTGAAATAGAGAATGAGATCCAGGATACAAGCAACTGAAATTAGCTTTTCCCACAGGGTAGACAGGAACTCCCTCAGAGACAGGGTGAGGAGCTTTATCATTTGAGAGTGACCCGGTGTAGAGCCACTTCTCCTTCACATTAACAGGAGACGACTGAGGTGGTTTGGACATATTTTTGGTATGACCCCTGGACACCTTCCCTCAAGAAGTGTTTCAGAGGGAGGCCAAGGAATGACCCAGGACACGCTGGAGAGACTATGCCTCTCTGGCTTCCTTGGGCTTCTTGGGCTTTCTCCAGCAGAGCGAGAGAAGTCTGTGAGTGTCTGCTGTGGCTTTTGCCCCCATGATCAAGATAAGAAAAAGACGACGAGTACCAGTACAAGGAGAAGAATATTCATCCTTATTTCTTTACTCGAAGTAAAATTATGACAACAAATTACTCAGTGAAACACCTCATCTCAGTACCAGGGTTGTTTAGAGTAACCCTGAGTATTTTACTCAGAAATCTGCACAAGGAATTGTTAAAAATGGCGTTTTTTTTTTCCTGAAAGAAGCTGTTAAAGACATTGCTGTCAGGAGAGGGTGATCAGAGCTTGATTAGATGTTTGATCTTTTTCAAAGGAATTTCTCTTCTTTAAATATGCTTTAATAAACTGTGCACACATACAGAGAATATGACTTCACTTCCACGTAATATTCACTGAAGGCATTTTTGAATATTACTGATAAAAAGGAAAACAGAACAAATTAAAAATTTATTTAATTGTAAGTATATACATATACATTTAAAAAAAAAAGAGAAATAAAGGCTAGATTAGAACAAATATGCATCATATTGATTTGGGGACTTTATCTTCTCTTAAAACTGCTATGAATAAGATCTGATTAAGTATAGGAATGTTACAATACCAGCAGAATCTTAGCTAATTTTTTTTATTATTTTTATTTTATGCATGTTATAAAGTGACCTTCCCTCTGTTTTCTATTGTTTAGTTGTGCAGCACATTAAAAGACACAACATCGTACTCAAGAGAGAACTTGGAGAAGGAGCCTTTGGAAAAGTTTTCCTGGCTGAGTGCTATAACCTTTCACCTGACCAAGAGAAGATTCTGGTCGCTGTCAAGGTAATCTGGGACTAAATAGTTTACGTTCATAATTTCACAGAATGTCTTACTTTGAAATAATTGAAATAATTATTTGAAATAATTGCCAAATATATGAAACAACAGAAATCATTGTTTTTCTTGGCTTGTTTATTTTTCAACAAATGTTTCTCTAAATTTCTCATTTATGTGATTTTCTTCAAATGTTCTCCAATCGTCTTGACATCAGAGCTGCACAATGTGTGGTAACAGTGCTGAACACAGTATTATGATAACAGTTTCCAATGCAATGTATGAATACCAGAATTGGACATTGCAGGCTAACAAAGACCTTAACTAAGGGGTGGACCATTTCTTCTAGTTCAATTTGCATGTTTTCTAAGCCATAACAAGGCTTTGTTAGGCTACTCTATAAAGCTTGGAAGTCAAAACTAATCCAGACATTTTGAATTGAGAAATGGGAGCGGAAGCAAAATGTCTTCAAACTTGGAAAACAAAGTCCAGTGGTTTGTTTTTTAACTTTTTTTTAAACTTTTTTTGGAATGACTATGACCTGGATAACTGAGAATCTTCACCAGCAATCTATGAATAACTACTTATAGTGGCTTAGACTTTAAAAAATTGTATTGTTATTGTATATATATATACAATTTATACAAACCAAAAATTAGTTTTTTACAGCTTTCATTACATTTCCATTTCTTATAGTGCAGCAGTGATCAAATGTAAACAGTGTTTGGGTAAAAAACATGGTGTAGAAAAACGCATTGATATGGAAGTTCAGAGCATTAAATATATATTGTGCAAATATGCAGTGTTTTGGTTTGGTGTTATCAGAGTGAGGCAGAGTCTGTATTATGATTTAGAGTTTTCTCAACAGTTCAGTTGTCTAATGGCAGTGGGGAAGAAGCTGTTTCGGAATCTGCTGGACCTGCTACTTTGTGGAGAAGAAAAAACACTTAAAACTTAACTATATAGCTTAGAACTGCTACTGTCCCTTTCTTCATCATGCAGATAGAAATTTAGGAAATGTGTTACCGTAATTTGTCCTGTCGCTTGACAAATCCTCCGTAGAGGTTTTGGGAAATCTCTCATCTTACATTATGCAAACTGTACACTCAAGCATTCAAGAGGCCATAAAACATAATTTAACTTCAATTGAAGTTTTACGTTTTCAACTGTGGTTTTACTTGCACTAGCTTTTTCAAAAATTTAATTTTTTTACACATCTGATCTAAAAAAGAAGGGTTTTTCTTTTTTGTTTGAATTTATGGTTTGGTGACTTTGTAGTTAAAGATAAATATTGGCATGTCATCATTAAAAAAACAACATCTGATTCTTTCAATGTATTCCAAATATTGAGCAGTTTGCAGCAGACAGTCTAATGTTACTGAAAAGGGTCCACAGTTTTCTGAAATATAATCCTTCACATGACATTGCTCCAGCATAGAGAAAATATGTTCACCTGCATTTCCGCTGCTAACATTAGACAGTCTTTTATATCAAAAGCCTCTCTCTGTAAGATGTGAGGTGGGATTACAGCTAAAAACTGCTGACTTCAAGGAGGAAATTGAGATGCATCCCAGGAAACATCTTCCTGTAATATATATCTGCACATCAGCTTCCCCATCAAGCCAGCTTTCCTTTTCTCTGCAGTCCAAAGTGAAACCAAATCTAAATTGAGAAGAACTTTGCATTAACAATACATGAACTGTGACAAGACCACCCTTCTTTACGCCACTATTCCCCCCTTTCTTCCATTTTCCTCTCTTCTGCACCTTCAGCTTGCACCTGCTGTATTTTTCCTCTCTCCTCTGACTCATCATCCTGGCTGCGTCCCTACTCACAAATCCCACAGCTTTTTTTTTCTGTTCTTGGGCTTCCTGTTTCCTTCCAGCTTATCCTTAAAACCACCTGCAGATACTGGCTGCCAGCTTAGCTTCAGCTTAGTCAGCATGCTTTACAAAATTTTGACCTTAGAAATTTGAAAAAAAAATCAAAGTTCCTGCTGACACCATGTAGAATCTAAACGAATCAAATAACTATTTTTTTCAACTTATTTGAAAAATGAATTAAAGTAAATCTAAACAATACTGAGAATGTTGAATATTGTAAATAAGAACATTTTTGTGAAAATAAAATTTCACAAAAAAATTAACAGGAAGAAAAATAAGTATTCCCCCTATCTTTTACTAGTTTGAAATTGCTTAAAACCTTTTACAGGCTTATCAAATCAGATTTCCATCATCATAGGAACCTACTCAGTTTCTTTTTAAACCTTTAAACATTTTAATTGTTGTGGTCTTAGTTGTATAGGGAGTGGGAACACCACAGAGATTATTTAAGAAACAAGACAGTGGCATCAAATAGCATGGTGGAGGAATCTGAAAAGAAGAATTTGGAAGCTTTTTAAACCTTATCTCAAAAAGAGGAATATGAGTTGAGGACATACAAAAAAAAAAAAAAAAAAAAAAACGACAGACAAACGGACAGACAGATAACTTAGCAAATTTATCCTAAAAACTGTGTTAAACCAGCCAATGTTAATTACAATACTGCCAACCTTCTTGGTTGGAATTATTAATATGATCGGTCCATATATCATATTCTATTTGTCACACCTGTTTGTCAACTGTTGCTATCAACCATCTGACCCTCCAACAACATCTACCGTATTTCAACCTTGGTTAAACCGTGCTTTTTCTGTTTTCTTGCCTGTAATTTTAATTGGTATCCAATTTTCAACATTGACTGGCTGGCTTATTTAAACATACATTTACATTCTTTTGTTGGATTCATGGACCATTTATGGTTGAATATAGAGAGCAGAACACGAAGTGGAGCCTTGGATGCAAACTTTGAGGTACAACTGCAATTTATAAAGCAAAGTTGCTTGGTTTTGTGCATACCCTTGATTTTTTTTTTTTTATCTGAATTTCTTCAGGCGTACACCATTTTCAGATGTTTGATATACTGTGTGTACACTTTTAGCATGGATCCTGATCTTGATCTCCTTAGAATTGTGTTTTTTGTCACTCTTAAATGCTTTTTAAACAGTGTTTGAAAAATATTATCTGAGTACACATGAAAAGCAGTTTCCAGATGTTTTTATTTATTTATCAAGAAATAAGCTGCCTGAACAAACCTGTGCAAGTGTAAAAGTTATCACCTTCCTTTTCAATCATAAATTACCTGATCTACTGACACTCTCACCCAGGCATTAACAATGTTACCTGTAGAACAAGGCTACTTAAATACAAACCTTTAGGGCCAATTCAAGGCGACAGGTTATCTGGCTGTTATAGAATACCTGGTAGTTTCTCATCCTTTTCTGCAACTGTTATCCTGTTATGAAGACAACCAGGTGCAGCAGCTAAACTATAGTTAATCTTCTGAATGATAATGCGTCTTTATGTCAAGAAATGTGTTCATATTTTTTAAATACTTAATAATATCAAGATTGTAAAGTACCAAGAATAGGTAAAAATAAGGAAAAACAAAAGTTTAGAGAAAGATATTAATGGATGGAGAGAATGCCCATAGAACTAACTGAGCCTCCTTAGAAAGTATCGAATAATTAGTGTAGGTTTAATAATAATAATAATATTGTTCTTTTATTTTTTTACATTTCAACAAATAATCCTTTACCCTGTTTTTTTTTTTTTTATTCTGCCTTTCATTAACTCAAACCCCATGGCAGACAAGCTGTCTGAGCATTGGTTTATAAGCTGACAATCTGCCACAGTGTCACCATTTAAATATAATTACACATAATCATTTTGTCCGTACATTGCACTCTGTCATTCACCCTACATGTTTTTGATTGTTTACCACATTAAAACATGCACTCACTCAGAATGTTTAATGATGTCATTTTGGGAATCACTTATCAATCATCCAGCTAACCATTACACAGAAGCAGTTTTTTTTTTTTTTTTACTCCTACTGTATATTAAACATCGAGAAGCCATCAATCATCCTCATGCTGCAGTAAATACCATTGCAAGTAAAATATGCACAACCACAAGTGCAGCAAACTTACTTGACTGAATCCCATCCATCATAAACACCAAACACATCCAATAATGTTTCCTTCACACATGTAAATGAGTCACCATATTTTTGAGTTGAAGGTTGGTGATTGCTTTTTTATTTGTCAAAGAACCTGAATGTGCTCAGACCGGATGACTAACAGTCTAATATTGTGGCTTTTGCTCTGGGAATTAAATCAGCTTTGAGTTCAGCGAGGGAGAGCGTGATAGGTCGGTTATAGATGTTTCTGCCTCACAGGGAAGTCTCTGCAGCAGCAAGCAGCCCTGGATTTTGCCTTAATATGACCGGCTCCGTGCAGTGATTCATAATTAGCCTGCAAAGATTATTGGATGCTGTTCAATGATTAAGCCCAGGAAAACAGTAAATAAGATTTATGCTTAAACACATTTTTTGATCGCATATTTTTCAGCTTCATCACCTAAATTATCATTCTTTTTTTGAAAGAATGTGAACACTACATCTATGGTTTACAAATAGATTGCCAGAAAATTAAAAGAAATGCTAATTAAGGGATTATCTTATAAATGTGGAAACAACCACTTCTTGTTGGCTGTCAGAACTGCATTAATATCAATAGCATTCTGTGTAATCTGAAAACGTAAACTTGATTATCAGTCCCTGCAGGAATTAATCAAGAAAACAACCCATGCTTTGCATATCACTGCCTTGAGAAATTATTCATTCTTTGCACACTTTCGAATCACAGTCACAGACTTTACTATATTGTATTTGCATTGATGTACTGTATTAGACCAACAAACCTTAGCACATGATTGTAAAATTAAGAGAAATTATAGTTTTTAGCATTTTTCATTGATAAATCCTGATTTTTTTTTTTTTTGCATTCAGACCTTTTTACTCCCATATCCCAAACTAGATCCTTTGCAAACAAATGCTCTCAGATGTCACCTAATTTGTAAATTGAGTGCAGAAGCATGTTAGTTAATCTCAGTCTAAATACGTGTCTTGTTTTCTGTTTCTCAATGTTCATCAGAGAACACAGGTTAAAAAAAACAACATCATGAAAAAAAAAAACTGTTTTAAGAAGCTGCTCTGATCAGATTGCAAAACATTTTGGGTCTCTATAAACACACCATCCTCACCATAAACCTTGAGATTGGCAGCATCGTGCCTGTGGGTGTTTCCTCATCATGGACAGTAAGCTCTACAGATTCAAAGATAAGATGCTATAGACAGAGCTAAATAAAAAGAAATAAAAAAAACTGTTAGAGTCTCCAAAGGACTTGAATTGTAATTTTCAACTGAAAATCTTTGGTGTAGATGCTTTCCACCAAATCCTACTGATATTGGATGATTTAGCTGTGAAGCCGGTACTAATTTTCATCTGTAAATATGCAAAGCAGGTATTGATTCAGAGAAACATTATAAATTTAGGGGACGTTTGCCCTAACTTAGGGGACGTTTGCCCTAACTTGATCAGCATGACATTGAAACCCATGCATCTTTTTTCTTTCCCCTTTAGGATCATACAGGACTTAAAAAATATTTATTAACCACAAAGGAAAATTTAATGTTGAACTAACTCTTCAGTTTCTTTGCAGTAAGTTGTTTGTGTGGGTCTGTCGCAGACAACCCCATTAAGTAACTGAATTCTGAGTAAAAGGTAAAACATTTTAAGGAGTATGACTTCTTTTTAAAGGCACCATATGTTTCATATTATATTGCAAACTTAGATTGAAGTACAGGCTTTCATTCGATCCATATCTTGTTATAGACCTGCATATAATCTTCATGCTGTATCGTATTACATACTGTTATGTACTTGACCAAGAAAAAATTTCCTGATGCACGCTTGCTCTAGTTTTGGCTGCAAGAGTTGCATGTAGTCAGGCTTTTTTATGCCATCTCTGCATTCTGGACTAAAGGTTACAGGTTGTTTTCTTCATGACTCCTTATCCTGCAGCGTAATCTGAGCTTTTTTCTATGTTATGTTGCACAGGCAGATAAAGACACTTGCATGTATCTATGTCATATGAAGGAAAGGATAGGAAGGATATCTATTATTCATGTAGAACATGAGAATTTCTTTATATATATGTTTTTTTAAGGGAAACTAACAGTCCTTATCACTTTCATTTCCTGCAACACGTAGAGCCTTTTCTCAAAATTAAATTTTTTCCATTCTCCTCCACAGATGCTGATGTTACTCAACCTCCCTCAATGATTTTGCTTGAGATTTGCTTAGGGGGATATCAGGAACATCATGAGAGCCATGCTGTCTTTACCTCCCTGCCATGTCTTTATCTATGTATTTAACTCTTCGTCTCATGATCTGCTATAATGTTTTCATTTATTTTCTTACCAGGCAATGCTGCTTCTGTTTCTTTACTGATTAAGGGACAAATCAGCAAATCAGAGGCTTTAATATATAAAAACATACTAAGTGCAGTAGTATAAAAAGTATAGACTTATTTCACATCTTTCGCTCAGCTAAAGAAAGTTCCTTTGTGTGCATTTCTGTGTATGTGTTTGCAGACACTTAAAGAGGCCAGTGAAAATGCCAGGAAGGATTTCCACCGTGAAGCAGAGCTGCTGACCAACCTGCAGCATGAGCACATCGTCACGTTCTACGGCGTTTGTGTGGAGAGCGACCCTCTTATCATGGTGTTTGAGTACATGAAACACGGAGACTTAAACAAGTTCCTCAGGCACGCCGCTCCTCTTAATTGTATATTTAATGTGAAAATGGCCACGCAAAAACAAACAGTTAAATGGAATCCTCACAAGAAGTTTGCTGTTAAAAATAAACACCTTAAAAAAAGCTGAACAGTCTTATAAGATGTTTTTACAAAGCTAAAAGTAAAAAAATGTTCTACCTGTTCTCTTGTAGGGCTCATGGACCAGATGCAGTGCTAATGGCAGAAGGCCAAACCACAAGACCTGTGGAGCTAACACAGTCTCAGATGCTGCATATTGCTCAACAGATAGCATCTGGCATGGTTTACCTGGCATCACAGCACTTTGTGCACCGTGACTTAGCCACTAGGTGCGTTATCTACTTTTCTGCTATTTGCTCAGGGTTTTTGCATTTTTTTAATTTGCTTTCTACACTTTTTAATGAAGCATTTTTTTTTTTATGCAAAGGCTTGTATTTAATATTATCCTGTTTGAAATGTATGCATGATTCTAGAAATGACAAGTTTCCCCACTAAAAAATAATTAATTATTGCCCCAACAAAAGCCCGAAAGAAGTCTAATTTAGTTGTTAATTCAGTGACTTAAACCTTCGCCAAAAAGAGCTCAGAAAAGTTTAAATGTTTTTAAAAGAGTGCAACTATCAGTAAAAGCGTTGGACACAGAACATCTGCATAAACAGTTATGTCTCAGTCTGATTGGTTGATTCATAATCAGACTGAGACTAAATCAACTCCTCAGATGCAGGGCCAAAATATATATATATTTTATTCCCTTTAATTTTGTTGTGTTTCTGTTTTCTAAACATATTAAAAATAATGCAACATATTTTAATATCAGTCAAATATAAACTCAGCAAACAAAACATGCACTTTTCAACTTCATTTTTTAAGCAATCCAAATCACTTGGTGAGAAAGTATTTACCTTCTAAACCTAGTTGTCTGCTCAAGAATTCATGACAACTTTAATCCAAAACTAATGGTAAAAGATTCCCCTTCAATACTTGTTGCCAATTAAAAACTATGGTTTTATCTTTTATACAAGTCATCAATGTCTGGAAGAAGCAGCTCTAGAATGTTAAATCTCCATGTCCTTTCTGAACAATTATGTTTTTTTTCGTTCCTTATCATCTGCCTATTCTATGAAACGCTGCCCTCAAACGATCCTTACTTTTTCTTTTTAGTCCTCCAAATCTTTTTCTCTTTTTGTTTTGTTTTTGGTCAGCAGTGGTTGTGACCTGATATGGGACAAGGAATGTAAAAAATTTAAAAAGGAATTGTCTTCATATTTTCTGTTATTTAGCGCACTTTCTTCACATTTAGTGTTTGTTCAAAATACAGCGATAACATGCTAAAAATAACTTTTATATTTATAAGTAAATTCTGAATATATATTTAAATAATAAATCTATATCTTATATTTAAGTCCTAAATCTAAACATATACAGTATCTGATATCATCAGATATATATTTAGCAGTAAGTGTAAATGATGATGGCAGTATTCAGGCGTTGGAGTGGCCAGAGAAATGGAGCCTAAACTGTTATTAATAGCCCACCTGCCAGTCATGATTAAGCAGGAAGGGCAGAGCAAGGTTGATTTGTTTGTCTTTTTATAAATAAATAAATTATTATATTAAAAAATTTAATTGTTTAAAAAATGCTTTTGTATTAACTAAGGTCTTATTCAGTTGTTAATGAATGTTTGATCAGCAGTAATCACTTTTAACTACAACTCAAACTATGAAAAGCTGTTAGTCAAGTCTATTACACATTAATGTGCACATCAGCAGTTAAAGAACTTATGATTTAACTCAAATAAAGGAAGTTTGATATTTCTGAATATTTCTTTCTTAATTTTTTTGCAGGAACTGTCTGGTGGGCGAGAACCTGCTGGTAAAGATTGGGGACTTTGGCATGTCCAGGGACGTCTACAGCACAGACTACTACAGGGTAGGTGTATGTGTCGATATCTTTTCTGGCCCTTCTTTCAGCCCATCCCACCCCTGTTTCCTGCTGCATGAGTCCACCACCTTCCCTCACTCTTGCATGAGAATGAGTACAGTTAGTTTTGTCTATGCTAAGATTCACTAAGCACTAAGCACACATTTGTGTGCATCTAGGATTTTTTGGAATAGTTATTTTCCCTACAAACTCTTCATTTTCCCATTTTATGTTTAATTATATAATTTAATTATGTAATATGTAATGTTGTATATATGTGATGAATGACAAGGTGTGTTAAATGTTTTAGGACATGAAGCAAATTTAGTTAGCTTTAAAAAAAAACCTGATTAAATCCAAAATGATCTATACCGATTTTCTTTACCATGATTTTGAAAGGCTCAATTGAAAAAAATAAGTATTGTTTTTCTACCACTTTCTTCCAAAGTAGATAAGTTTGACTAGATTTTTGAGTATAGTTTAGTTGCTTATGTCTAAGCAGGTACTTTATTTATTATGTTGAATTTACTACTTATAATGCAATGTATAAATGTTACTGTTTTGTTAATGGTCTTGTCAAGATTACAAGCAACTAGACATTTAAAATGTTCAGTGTACACAATGCAAAAGATTAATTCGAACAAGAATTTGCTTGATGAGGTAGAAAACTTATTTTTATTTTGTTTGGGGTTTACACTCTACAATTAGCTTATTTCTTCTTGACTCAATCTTTTGCACTGAAAGAAAATATCTGGTTTGCAGCCAACTCTGTGCAGACATTGTGGAGAAAGGAATGCAAATGAAAAAGAAAAAAAAAGAATTTTTTTTTGGGTGAAACACCCACAGAATGGCACCTATTAGTTTTATTCTAATGAGTGCATATCTGAAAAGGACAGAGGCAAAACAAATGTGACTTCCTCTACAGAAAACAAAGCAGTGTTAGTTCACATTTGGCCAGTGGTGCTTTTTGTGTGATTGCTTTTACTTTTAGTGTCAAGATAACCCAGGGGTACATGAGTGAGCCAGGAGTAAATCTGTGTTTCTTTTTTCTCCTGCTGTACAGCTATCTGTCACTTTCCCAAAGGGCCAAGGCCTAATAAACTGTATTGACTGATCGATAGTAGCTGTCCATTTTTCCAACCCTCTCCCCCATCCACTGTGACACACTGACATGACTGACAATGACAGATCACTCCGAGGAGGCGGGAAAGGGAGGATTGAGGGGACAGCGCTAAATCAGTGACAAGAAAAATCTCTTTTTTGGGAATAAATAATGACATTAACTATGACACATTGAAAGATAATAATCTATGAGATGTGAAATAGATGTATTGTTCTTGCTCCCGTTAAACAGAGTCCAGAAAAATAAAATTCTATGTGTACCTAGATGTGTTAAATTGTTGGTAATAGTTTGTTTTGATTTATGAGCACAAAGCACAGCTGTAAAGTCAAAAAGGAGTGGATTGGCCTAACATTTAGGAGTACATTTAAAAACCTTTTTGCGTTCCGAAAATTAATTCAAAAGAAAAAAAAAACGGCTCTGAGTGGGCTTCTTTAGTACGGTCTTTGTGTGACAACACATAACATCCTCCTCCTCCTCTTCCCTCTTCCTTTCACCCCCTCCTCAATAATGCCAAGTGCTGAGGCTGTATCCATGGCAACGGGTAATGGGTGAAGGTAGTGGCGGTGAGCTTCGGAGTTGAATCCATCGTTTCTCAGGAAGAAAAAGTAATCAGCGAACTTCTGCTTAGTATGCTGAGGCAGTAGTAGTAAGAGAGAGGGAGAGGGATAGAGACGGCTGTAAAAAGATGAAAGGAGGAATGAGATGGGAGAAAAAAAACAGGAGGAGAAAAGATGGAGGAGAAAAGTGGGATCCTCGAAATGAAAGAAAATGGATTAATAAACTGAAAAAAAGCTAACAAAGGGCAGTAATGGAACGATAAAGGGATAAATTTGGGTGAGAGAAAGAGGAGAGGTATTGAGGCATGGCAGCCTAGAAAAGACATCATACAGGAAACAAAACAAAACAGGAGTTGGAACAAGGTCTCTATCAGAGACAGAAAGAATAACTAAATAAATACACATTAGAACAACAGTTCAGCACAGGGGAGCTACAGGATGGTGGCTGCATTTCAACACCTAACAGAGATGGAGGTCTGTGTGTGTGGTTGTGTGGGAAGGTAGCGTGTATGGACCCAGTCATGCTTTTGCGTCAGACTGGAGCAAAGATGAGTCATAGAGGAATTGGAGCTCAGCCCCCCACCTCTGTGCGTATGGATGTGTGTGGAAATAGAAGCAGAGGCGATGAAATGAAGGGGTTGCAGTGACGTCACCGAATTCCCTGTTACACAATAAATACGATTGGCGTTGCACAAGACAGATCGAGGGCCTTGTGTCAAACCTTGATCCACATTTAACTTTTTTGGGGATGTTGGGGTCCTTGATGGTGAGGCCACACGACCTTACAGCTTTAGTTAGCTTCAAAGACAATATAATACATTTATGGAAAGTCTATCCTGCCAAAGCCACAAAGTTTTTAACATTCATGCTGACATGTCAGCAAGTCTCTTTGTGATGAGTAATTAAATGGAGAGGAATGAATACTTGGGTTACCTGGATGTCTTTTTTGTTAAAAAGTATTTAAAATACCAATCTCCTGAGGCCTGATGTTTTTATTTTAAGAACAATTTTTTAGTATTATCAGTATTATTAGTATTATCAGGCAATAAGAACACAATCAGGTACGCTAAAGAGCTCTCACCAAAGGCTCGAGAATATTTGATGATTGGGAGTAAACTGGTTAAATAGAGGCAGAAGAAGGTGACACAGATGAATGGTGATGAGAAACCGGGCAGAGTTAGACAGGTGAATAAAATGAGAAGTTACACAAGTCATCAGCGCCAAGAACACTACAGTTTGGTCCAGACCTTTCGAAAAGAAAGACCGGGGTCTGCTTTATGCGGCTTCCAAACTGACTCTTGTGCAACTGGCCTCTTGTCTGAATACAAACTGGCCCGAATTACAGAAAGAGTATATATCTTTTGTATTAACAATCTATAGTAATAGTGATGAACATAGGATCGAGATACCATCTGTTGCTTGGCAATATTGTTGCCAGCATGTTATGCGTCTTCGTCTCCAACCCTGGTCCTCACGATCTATTGTCCTGCAGATTTTAGATGCATCCCTGCCCAAACACAGCTAATTCAAAGCACTGAATTACCTTTAACTTACGGTAACTTCAGCATGCCATTGAGTTGATTAAGGCCTGGTAAGAAGCCATCCATTTGAATCAGCTTTGTTTGAGCTGAATTAAATCAATGATTGAAGACCCGGTTTGGAGACGCCTGCTGTAGATCAATATCTGCATGTTTATTAATGCTAATTTTTTTTTTGTTTCCGAGCAAAATAGATAGAATGTCATCCTCATATTTTAGTTTACACTCCCACCCACCACAGAATATTTTTAAAGTCAGCGCAACTAATTGCATAATTTGGGGACAATGTGTTAGTAGAATAAAGTGTGACTACTAGCTGGATTATTGATGTACAGTCTAATTCACTAGAGTAATGACTGATTATTTGTTGAAAATTGATAGTTGCATGGCTCACTAATATAAAGGATGGCTTGAGTTGTTTAGGGAAATTAAAGTGCTGGATTCCAAGTGAGAGCAACACTACTGGTCAGAAGTTGATCAGAAATTGCAGCATCTAAACCATTTGCTGTCAGAATCCAGTGTTTTTGGATTACTTTTTTTTGTGCTTTTTTACCTTTGTAGTCAGTTGTAGTTATATTGGGTTTGATACAGAACCATTTCAAATCATCCATAGAATTATTTGTTAAGTGTTTAGGCAAGACTTTCTCTCCTTACTATATTCAGCAGAACACTCAATGTATTTAGAGACTTTGCTACAGTATAAGTACCTTTTGCATTAGGTTTTGCATTAGTGGCTGAGTTTGGTGTACTGGTACTTTGCATGACCAAATGAAACCTAGTCAGCCTTGTTTTTGCTTTTTTTCTCTTGTACAAGTCAGTTGCATATTTAATAACTATTATAATTATTATAATAATAGTATGATAATATTTATAATTATAATATAATAATAATAATTAATTACTATTATTATTAAAATAGTGCCATTAATGTTTTATACACCATTTTTTCATCTGTTGCATTTTTCCCCTTACTTGCTAATAATACAACTGAATTTCCCCACTGGGAGAAATTAAAGGATTACTGTATTGTATTCTAGCAACCAATTATCTTATTGAAGCAACATATTCTTAGAAAGTTTATTATAAAGTGTTATTATCAGTAACAATCTTCCTTTAAATCTATCCCTTTTGAATTCAAATTTAATATTAACTGACCTCTGAAATCAACACTTAAAGGTAGGAATGGCACTAAGAAATGGAAATGCAATTTTAGTTTGTGGAAAATAATTTATTCTGTACAGTCACAATCTTTCTGTAAATTACTTCTTTAATTTCAAAAAGATTCTAATGAAGGAAATTACGTTGGTGGTTTTTCTATATTTCAATAAGACAAGGTAAGGGAAGTTTATTTATATAGCCTAATTCAGTGCAAAGACAATTTTAAGTGCTTTACTTGAATTAAAAAATGAAATAGAAGGGAAAAAAGCAGAATAAATGCAGGAAAGAAAAAAAAAACATGATAAAAGCAGATAGTCAAGCAAATAAAACAGTTGGACCAAAACCTTAAACCAATTATACCTCATGTAACAGTTTAACAGTCATAGAAGTTTTAAACGAGTGGCTTTGTAACTTTGACTTACAACAAATTAAAGGACTTTATTGAGATTTTCCCTCCTGCTTTTCGCTTTTTCCTTAGCATCAACCTTGGTTGGGGAAAAAAGAAAGGCTTCTTAGCTAAATGACTCAAGCAGCAGTGTTTTTCAGCACATAATCCCCTTTGTCTTACTGCAGGAGAATAAGGGTTAATAAAGGCAAGTTGTGTCTAAGGTTAGCTCACACCTACTTAGAAACTTGCTT